TGTTATTAGCTCATAACATGATATGCAAATTACTGGTCATTAGATTTCGTGTAGCTAATTATGAAAATGACTAACTGGTAATATCAGAATGCGACTCCATTTCTGATGCATTTTGATGGCTGGCAAATATTCTGGAACCTGTAAAGGAACAATTATGTATGCACTCGCTCTGTGACACTTTCCAGTTCATCGACTGCATACAAGACCTGAATGTATTCAACAAAATTATACTGTCCTTCGATATTGAGTCACTTTTAATCAATGTCCTACGCAAGGAAATGCTCTGCTTTATACATAAATATATAGATGAGAACCATCTCAACATTGGAATATCAACAGCAAATTTGAAGGAATTATTACTGAGATGCACTCTGAACGTACAGTTCACTTTCAACGACTCCATCTATAGACAAAAAGATGGTATTGCGATGGGATCTCCGTTGGGTCCACAACTATCAGATTGCTTCGTGGCAAGCTTCGAGAAAGGTCTATTAAAGCCGAGCATCGACAATTTACGACTGTATAAAGGATACATAGATGATATATTCATTATATGTGACAACAGTAATGACCCAAATCTACTGCTGCAGTCATTTAACTGTTGCCATCCAGCAATAAAATTCACTCTTGAAATGGAAAACGAATCAAAAATTTCTTGTAAATATCAAACCAAGAACTTGAAGAAATGAAACTTCACTTGCGCCGAAAAAGAAACTCTATATGAACTTAGATTTCAAGGACATTTAACAAGTGATATTCTCAAGAGAAGGATCACATCATCTCTGAGAAGAACATTCTTTGCAGCAACGCTAAGAATAGTGTTCTCCAGTCGTCCGATTATCTGCAGAAGTCTTAAGGACAAGATCTCACATCTGACCACGTAAATGTGCATATATCAGTTCACCTGCTGATGTGGAGCCAGGTACATCGGTCATTCGAAGCGCATCCTATCGAAGAGGATTCAAGAACACAATCCAGCATGGTTGCGAAAAGGTGATAGTGGCGCTATAAGGAGTGCAATAATTGAACACCTGGTTAACACCGATCATTCCATTTCAATAAACGCCCCCTTCAAAGTAATCTACAGAGTCAAGAACAGCCTACCAAAGGCAATACGGTTTCAGCTGAGAAAATGAATTCGTCGGAAAGAGACTTCACTGCACTATGTGTTTTGTTTTCATCAATGCCTGGATGGGAATTATCCATGAATTAAAAGGTCATATGGACATAAAGTTTACTACAACAGTTCAATGCTTCAGGCTGTTATGCTTCACTGTAGCATAAATGATGATTCTCAGAAATTACTAGCCTACAGCTTTCTTCATTCAACACTGAGTGCTGACTTACACTGTTTACGTCGACTGATTAAACTAAAAGCACACTGCAGAGCGTTCACACAATTCTGACATACTATAATGTTACTTCCAGTCATTCATGCACACTCTCTAGTTAGCTATGCAGAGACATCTACACTAAGTTTCTGACCCTGAAATATATTTCATATTTAAGACGATAGAATTGTTGTTCTGGTTTGGCTTCCTAAAATTCCTCTCGTCTACTTAGAACAATTGCATTGGGAGTTGGAAGATAAATACGTGGATTGGCATATGAGTGTGCATTGAGTGCTCATCGACATCCTTCGTCTCTTAAAGTAGACATTAACTATTAAGGAAAAACTACTCTTATCTCGGTCATTATTTTACACCACGTTTGTTTATCGTTACGAATCTGTTGAAGGTTTTTAAAAGGGTCGATTCAAGTGAAGTTCTCAGTCACTTATTACATATCATGTGTTGAAAATGTTTCCTACTGTTTATTTTAGCATACAGGATGAAAATTAGCAGGCTTACATGTGTCATTGACTAGAATGACTCATTTCTTAGCTGTAATGAAGAAATCAATACCTTAAATTCAATACTTTAAGATACAAATGGCTTTCATATAAAGACTCACATCTATTCTTTCATACACAACCAGTATGGCGACTACATAGTTTATTATTATTATTATTGTTCCCTTGGGTTCCTAGTGGAACATAGGGCTTCAACTGCACGTCTCCACTTGCTTCTGTCTTCTGCTGTACTTTTCACCTGCATCCATGTTAATCCATACTGTTTCAGCTCCTCTTCACACGATCTCTTCCATGTCACCCTTGCACTGACGTCCCACTCCCCGCTTCCCTTTCGGGTTCCACTCGAGCGTTGGCCTGACGCGCGATATCACCCAGCGGCCTCCTCAGCGAGTGTCCAATCCATCTCCACTTTCTCCTGCATACTTGTTGGGCGATTGGTTCTTGTTTTGTTTCTTCCCATAGTTTCTTGTTGGTGATTCTTTCCGGCCATCTGATCTTCAGTATGGAGCGAAGACAGCTGTTGATAAAGGTTTGCAACCTGTTGGAAATATTCTTGGTGACCCACTGCCAAGTTTATGATCCGTAAAGAAGAACTGACTGACTTGACGTTTGTATTGAAAATCTGAATTTTTGTTGTTGTTGTTGATGCTGAGTGACGAAGATTTTCAGATTGGTTTCAGGTTGATGAATGTGTTTCTCGCCTTCCCGATTCTCGATTTGACATCCTCATCTGTTCCTCCTGTAGTTGAGACAATACTCCCTAGATAGGTGAACGAAGAAACTTCTTTCAAATCCCTCCCGTTGATGGTGATTGGCGGTGGATGTTGCTGTTGTTGTTGTTGGTTGGTTATTTTCATAACCTCCGTCTTGTCTATGTTCACCTGGCGTCCTGTCTTTGCTGCTTCTTCGGCCAGTTTGTCGGTTTTCGCTTGTAAGTGATTGATTTTGTGTGACACCAAACATAAATCATCTGCGAAATCCAGGTCTTCTAGGTTCTTCACGTCGGTCCAGGATATCCCTGTCTTCTCGTTTCCCACTGTCTGACGCATAATCCAGTTCACTACATAGTTTAGTTCTTGAATATCTAGCTAGGTTTTTGATCATATTTCCATTTGGTTTATTTTTCGGTTCAATTTATTGGGATAGTCTTAATTTTTCTGACTGAATAGTAAAAGCTGCGGGTGTGCAATTGTGGCTCATTGGCTTACTAGCCCAACTTTAAACTATTGGGTCCTGGGTTCGAATCCAACACCCCCCCCCGACTTCAGCTTGGGCAGATGGAAAGAATCATTAGCCTTAATGAAGTAAGTACATATTTCAGTGTACTATATGAAAATTCCATCCCAGTTAACTGAATTCTAACAAATAACGCTGCTGTATATAAGACAAATCTTTTAGTTAGATCAGGCAGCTACTCTTGTTGTATATAGCCTTCGTTCTATTATTCTGTCCATTTTCCTTTAGTATGCTGTAATCGTTTGTAGAATTTCCAGTCAGTATACCGATGTGAAGGTTCTTCATTTATCTAGGCTCCATAAATAAAGTTATCATTATTATTATTGTTCCCTTGGGTTTTGAGTGGAACACAGGGCTCCAACAACACATCTCCACCTTGTCCTATTTTCTGCTGTCCTCTTCAGCTGGGTCCACGATTCCCCATAATCTCTCATCTCCTCCTCACACGATCTCCTCCGCGTCACCTTCCGACTAACGCCCAACTCGTCGTTTCCCATTCGGATTCCACTCAAACTATGCCCCGGCGCGCGATGTCATTCGATAGTCTACTCAGCATGTGACCAATGCACGTACATTTTCTTCTAAGTATTTGGTGAGCGATCGTTTCTTGGTTGGATCGTTCCCATAGTTTCTTAATACTAATTCTTTCAGGCCGGTCATTTGGTCTTCAGTATGGAGGCAGTGAAGGCGGTTGTTGATGAAAGTCTGCAGTGGTCTGTTGGAAATCCTTTTCGTGAAGCTCTGACCAGGTTTCTGACCCATATAGAAAGACTGACTGCCTTAATATTTGTATTGAAAATCTGAATCTTGTTCTTTATGCTGGGTGAATGTAGCTGATTTCAGAGGAATGAAGGTGTATCTTGCCTTTCCTTTTCTGGCTATCTTTGACATCTTCATCCGTTCCTCCTATGGTTGAAATGACGTTTGATAGATATCTGAAGGAAGCAACCTCTTTCAAATTTCTCCGATTAATGGTGATTTGTGCTGGTTGTTGTTGCTGTTGGTTGTTTGTCTTCATCCCTTTCGTCTCCTATATGTTCACCTGCAGTCCTGTCTTCGCTGACTGGATTCAAGAGTCCTTTGAAGTGATCAGCCCATTGTTTTATTTGTTTCTCCTCCTTGGTAATTAGGTCGCCTTGAACATCTTTTACGTGTGTCATCATCTGCGTAGATCTCTTCCCGGATAGAGGCCTGGTTATCTGGTATGGTTTTCTGAGGTCACCTTTACCTGCAGCGTGTTCAGCTTCAGTTGTCAGTGTGTTAAAGAATGGTCTTTTGTCTTTTCTAGTACTATTAACATTGAATCGGAGTATGGACTGATCATACCAGCTTAGATGCTCTACGGTTTATCCACTTGAGCAGTGTACGACGAATTAGTTATTGTCTAACCGGAACCAAAATCTGCTACGAAATCAAAGAACACTGAAGAATTGCTTCATCGTAGTATTTGACTTTTCAGCAGGGAACACTTTTGTTTTTCTTGTAATATATAGGAATAGATAAATGCAGAATGAATGCGTCAGTGAAACAAGAAGACTGCAGTTATGAAATTTTAGTCAAGTACAAGGAGATTCGTGAAAGCTTTATCAAAGTTTCAAAGCGTTTATTAGTATCACTTTTGAATACAGGTGCTAGTTGCTGCTTCTCTTTTCTGTTAGTTTACCTTTTGACAGTTTTTCTTCTCATTTTTCAACAAACGGAACTAAATCTATCTACGAATGCGGAAATATGTGTACACGATGCACCTCATCCCGAACAGTAATCACTCAGACAAACTATGAAATAGAGCAATCGACAAATCAACTACTGTTAATTGGTTTTATTCACATGTAATCAAATATATGTATACATTTATTTATTTATTTATAAACTGGTATTTATGATAGTACAAAAACTACAGTGTTTATCCCCTCTATGAATTAGTTGTTATATTGGAACTGGATAATTCGGATTCAATTGATTTTTCACTGTTTGCGCTTTTCATTGAAGGATCTCTTGGTGCAAGTAGCTCATTGATCGTTGACAGTATTTCAGAGTCGTCACTAATTAAATTATTCTATAACAGTGTATAAAAACAGAGAAATAAAGAATAATTATAATACGTTGTTTATTATTATATTGTTATTCCCTTTAGTTTCGAGTGGAACACAAGGCTACAACAACACGTTTTAAATTGAATCTTGTTGTCATTATCCTGTAGGATATTGGTTCTGACTGCACAAGAGCTTTGACCGCTGTTGGAGACATCTTGGTAGCTGCTCACTGCCTCAGTGTGCTTGTGTTTGTCGTCTGAGTGACAGCAGTAGGTTATTGACTCTCCATTTAACAATTTGTAGAACCCATAACATCTGCTGTCACAGCTTCCGAGCACTTCTATGCCATAGCTACTCATTTTTTTAGCAACTTGTGCAGCTTTCTCAGCCGTGTTCATAGTACGAACATTCCAAGTCCCAATGCTTATTTCTGCTTTCATCGAAAGAAGACCCATCGTCTGACTGGCTTTCCGAAGGCTTTTATCAGCCCTCTGTGTCATTTCGTCTCCCCAATTCCAACCAAGAATAAGACTTTTTAAATATTTTTGCTGTACCTTGAATTTTCCGTAGAGGCTGGGTTGACTTTCCGGGGCAGGGCCGCTAGCCTCATACCCAACCTTCCCGCTTCACTCCGGCAGAGAACCGACTAGAAGAGAAGTGAACTAGTAAACTAAGAAAGGTTAATTATAATATGTTAGTTAGTGTAAACTTTATACTTATATAATGGGTGAAGTGCTGATAATTGGTGTGTCAGTGAGAAGCTATTGAAGAAGAAACTCAGGAGGAAGATGAAAAAAACACTAAGAAAAATCTAAGATATACCCAACAGGGAACATTATTATATTATTTATGCCTTCCGTTTCGTGTGAAACGTAAGGTTTCGGCGGCATACCAGCATTCCACTCGATTCTCTGTCATAACGTCTAACTGACTGCACACAGTATCCTCCATGTCACCCAGAGATGCTTGTCTCGTTGTTTCCCACTCATGTCCCAGTTGATGGCCTCGTATTTGTGTATATTATTTGAAGGTCTCCTTAGCGAATGTCTAATCAATGAGCTGGTGAACCCAAAAGAGAATGGATGTTATTTGAGAATTGCGTAATCAGTGTAAGTCTTATGAGTTTCTTAGTGTTCAACGTATATATATATATATATATATATATATATATATATATATACGGTTAATTGCATTTTGCTAATCATGAAGAAATATTTTCAATAAGATTATTTTATATGATACACCTGCCTTAGAATCCCTATCTCTTTTTGATTGCAGACTGAATAACCCTTGACAGTGAAGAGATGAAATGTAAGTAGTGATAACATCAAAAGCTGAAATAACGATAAACACCAGTAAACTACATTTCCGATGGCTAATTATTTTACCAACGTTTATGCAAACCATGAACTCCTTCCTTTTACCCTAGAAACTATCTCATACATGAAACAGGTGAAGAAAATAACGAAAACTGATCATCATATTCATATTAATATTAATCTTCCACTAAAGTAATAGAAAAAACGCTATCCTGCATGTTTGCAGAAAGTTAGTGGCGGATCTTCAAGGAGTAAGATAAGTGGACACCTTGTTGACATTGGTCATTCTATCTCAACAAACTCCCTCTTCAGAGTAATCTACAAAGTGAAGAACAACCTGCCAATGACAAAACGCCTATCAGATGGAGAAACCGGAACTCTACGAACAAAGAAAACTATTTAACCACCTCTCCTATCATGATAACGACCTTGTTGTTATTCCCTACCAACTTGATTTTGTTTATCTTTTAACTCCGTATTAAATCTTCTACGTTTTACGAACTCTTAAGTTATGTCACATTTTTCTTCATTTCTATGTGCACCCTGAGTGGAACTCATTCATTAAATTGTTTTATTTTAATTATGTAACCCTAACACCCTTATACAACTTCACTCATGTATTGATTCATAAAAAGAACGACGGTTATAACAACTCGTCACTTTTGTTATTATCCTCCTTTGGTAAAAAATTGTATAGAAGTGCAAAAGAAGACGAATTAGCTGAGAAGAGCGTCTTCTGCTGAACTATTTTCTTATGACTAAATTCTAAGCTACAGTATTGGACATATTCAACCTATTTTCTATCGTTTATGAATAATTTTAATTTCATAGAACAAATATTGAAATGTTCTGTCTATCAATTAATATCAGTATTCACCCTATTTGTTATTCCCAAATTCCATTTCCGGTTAATCGTAACAGCTTCATTGACAAATGGTATATCTATGCAGCGAAATTATCTACACCTTATCTTCAACACACCATTTACGCAGATCTTCCGTGTTGTGCTACTTCTCGCCTTCCTTCATACTGTGTGTATTTCTTTTTTTCCTTTAACGTCTCCCATGTATCTCCACAGCGCTGTATCATTTGCTTTCTCTGGCATCAAATCTATCTCCCCGTTATTTGATATTTTTATGCCGACGAACGTCTCTTGACATACTACTGATAAATCTTATCAGTAGTACACGACACCCCTCAACACTACTTAAAGATATTTTCTCTTAGTAATTCATATATCTAATTTGATTGCTGTACTTTTTAGGTCTTTGAATACAGCATTGAAGAAGATGCATAGAATAAGATACAAATTATTGTTCAAAATGAGGAAGAAAACGGTCAAAGTGTCCATGAATGATGCTTTCAATTCTTATCACTACATCCTAATTACTTTTAGTCCTCCTTGAAATGCCATTTTAATGTCAGCCACACTTATATTAAATGTGATTCAGCAAAAAGTATAACATCATATAGAAATAGTGTGTCATTCGTTTTGTAATTTAACTATTTTATGTGTTTGAGTTGATTTCAATTTTCTATTGCTTGATTATACTGTATCGAAACATTCAAAATTTGTTGACATATTTGCTCAAAGTGTGGAAGCTTCAACTAAATCTTAAGATAAACATAATATTGGCTAATTAATGGTAGCTAGTAGGAGAATAAAGGATGTGCATTTTACCCTATTTCGGACTCGTTAACCGAGTGTAACTGCATCCCCACTGAGTGATAGTGTTATCACCACTGAGACTCACACCCAACTAATGGGATGAAGTGTGAATCACGGATTCCACTTCTGGTCATTATCAACCAAATAATATTACAAAGTTTTATTTGTTTCATTCTGAAATGATAACCGTTCAAATCAGTGTGGTTGTGTTCTCTGAAAAGCTTTCACTATCTTTCAAGATAACTTCTAGATCAAGTGAATTTTCAGAAGCTTTCAACAATATGACAAACATCTCTCATGAGGCACCTTCTTGCACATTTGTATTTATTGTTTCAATAATGCAAAATTATCAAAGCTAACTCCACATTGAAGTTAGCGCTAAATAAGTTGCCTAGAAAGACAATAAAAGCTTCTAAATTAAACTATTCCGCTTAGAGAACACAACTGCACCAATACCATCCATCTGAGATAAAATAAATCGGATAAAGGGAGGAGAAAAATTGACCTTGGTGATTTGGCTCATTTAAATGTAAAATGCTTATTGAAGTGTAAGTTGAGTAGGTGTATTTACAGAGAAATTAAACTGAAACGTAAATCTAAAAATACTCTGTTATTGTTCCAGACATATACATGAATTTATCTCTGATTTCTATGATTATTATCTCAACATACAATGTTCCCTTTTATCTTTCTTTTTGCGCTTTGTTTATTCTCTATTTCAATGCACTGTGAAAAATCCATTAATTTCAACTGATATCCTGTTAAATTTAAGCTCGACATTCTTCTGTACAGTCATCAAGTCAGTCAGTCAGTCATTTTTAGATTTTAGTAGAGGTATGCTAACTTTGTACTGACAAAACATAATGAAAAAGTTCTGAATGACTGTATTTTTAGTGAACAAAGAATTTTCTTTCCCATAACTTTATCAGGTTCTATAGTTATATGTCCATAATAATTAAAGAAATGTTATTAATAACATCAATGTTTTGAATAACATTGAATAAATAATGTTAATATTTTATATCTGCAGCTCTGATACCCTGGAAGAAGAATTACACTTCCTGAAAGAAATCTTCATCATCAAGATTCATAGACAAAAACACCCAAAACAGAAAATCCAAAAGCAAGAGACGCCATTCGTGCAAAAAAAGTACTTTATATGAACGTTGACTTCAAAGGTGACCAACTCAGTGATGTCCTTAAGAGGAGAATTTCCACTTCATTAAGAAGAACTTTCTTCGTGGCAACAAGGTTGAGAGTGGTGTTCTCTAGTCACCCACTGGTCTGCGAAAGCCCAAAGAACAAGATCTCTCACCCGACCACTACAGTGTGTTTATATCAGTTCACCTGTCTCTGTGAGACTATGTACATTGGTTGTTTGACCCACATCCTGTTCAAAAGGGTTGCAGAACACTATCCTGTAAAGTTACAGAAATGTATTAGTGGCTGTAGGAGAACTGCGATTATGGAACCTCTCGTCACCACTGGTCATTCCATCTCAGCAAACGCCTCCTGCTTCAAAGTGGTCTACAAAGTGAAGAACAACCTGCCAAAGGCAGGTCTTCTTCTTTGCATTGCAGAAGCCCTAGCCATTCAGTTAGAAGAACCATAACTATTCATACAATGGAAAATTATTCAGCCACTTCTACTATCATGGTAACAACTCTGTTGATGTGAATTAACTTTTGATTGTTTGCTTGTTGTTTCTAACTACTTAAAACTCTTACGTAATTCCGTATTTTGTTTTGTTTCAATGTACATCCTGAGCACAACTCTTTCACCGAACTATTCATGTTATTATGTAACTCTTCTTTAACAATCATTTGTGACAACTCATGACTTTCGTTATTACCCTCTTATATCAACATCCAATTCCTCTGAACGCTTTTTGTATTACGTAACTCTACCAAAATTTACTAATGGTATTTTCGTTTGACAAGTTTGACGTACACACACATACAAAATAACCATACATCTTTGCGATTTTACATCTGTGAAAATGAATTTACAGCCGAAAAGAGACTCTTCGCTGAAATACTTGTGATAGTATTCATCACTGTAACAATAAACTTAATATCAGATGAATTAAAAAAATAATGTAGAATTTATGAATTTCTAAGTTCTATAACAGACCATCTCAACAATAGTAGGTGGACCTGTTTCTTTCGCATGTAGAGTTCCAGTTGTCTTAAGCAAACTGTTTGGAGTGTCCCGTATTTGGAGGCCATCTGCAATTTACTTTCATTATTCGGTGGATGATAGATAAAGATTCCCAAATACCAGCTTAATTGCCTGTTTAAACTAGGTGATCAAATATTGAACTTTTGGTTGTTTTCACTATGCCTTTAATTAACCACACTGGTAGGTATTTCCCAGAACAAAATATTAAATTCCTTGAGCAATAGTCAATATAACTGGCACCACAGGAGTAGTTGAATCCAAGTGAATTAGTCTCTAAAGATTTTTAATATGCCTCTTAAATCAGCCGAACGAATTCTGTTGTTTTACAAGATTGAAACAACAATCAGTCACAAATCGATTTTGTCTGACTTACATCAAGTAACAGCTTTAATAATCCTGTACCAAAGTTTGTTGATGAATTTCCACTATTTAATATTTTAGTTTGATAAGTTACTGCTTCTTGCAGTGCTTTGAAACCATCGACACTGATTAAATTACCTGGTCGGATAATAGAAAAATACACAAATATTATCAATACACCACTTACTACTACTATTGTATAAAAATTTAGTTTGCCATGTCAGATAGGGAGTAATAAGAAGACAAAAGCGTAAAAATGAATTCATTTTGAGTTAGTAATCTTTATAGAAGAAAATTAGGCGCATAGGTAAGTGTAAACTGACTAGCTGGGATCCTCAGCAAACTGGGAACCAATGCCTGGAGACTAGTGGGTGGTATGGCTCAGTGGTATGGCAGATCGGTTCACTCTTTGTTTTCTTTTCTGTATCCACTAAATCCCCATGCTTTCCTTATTACTATTCTTTCTCTGGTGAATTTCTGCTGATTGTAGTCCTTTTGAATCCTTTCTTTCTCTCTTTTCTTTACCTTTGTGTGCTACATCGAGTGTGGCAACTTGAACTACTGCACTTCTGTGCAAAGTCCTGTGCTGCAAATCGATCAGTAAAATTATACTAACTTAGTAATACAAATGCAATCAGTTGTCAACTGTGCCACCCAGGATCACAAACCTTAGGTATGGATTATTTGCGTAACCTCATTCAGACAAGTTGAATATCTCTACACACGAAGATGGGGTTTTAAATATCCCATCAAATACAAATATAAGCTCAGTACTGGGACTGTAATAGTAGTAAATGAAGTAATTAGTAACATATGCGTCGGTGGTACAGGGGTAGAATGCTCGCCAACCATGCAGGTGGTTCGGGGTTCAATCCCCGGCTGATGCACTCCTTTAACTCGCTAAACCAGTAATAAGGCTGGTAAAGAGGGTAGCATGGGCATGAGGTTAGTAACCCTATCCCGTGAAAATGAACACCACTGCTACTGAAACCTCAAAACTCTATCCTGAAGCCCTATGTTCCACTTGGAACGTGAAGGAATAAAATAAATAACCATAAATAAGCCCAGTACTGGGACTATAATAGTAAGAAATGAGGTAACTAATACTATGCTCAGTTAATTGTTATATAAGTCACAGAATATAATTATTCATCTTTTCACTAAGTTTACTGCTTACGTACTAGTACGTAGAACAAAAATATTCATTAGCCTAGTAGAAGTAGACTACCGAGTTTTAAATACAATGATTAGTTACTCGTGGCTTTGCGATCTATCTGTACAGTGAATAGTCCTAAAAGCTTGCAATACCTCTTTATGTGACTTAGAAAAACAAATTTTAATGTTAAATACTTCAGGATTGCACTAAGCATTACTAAACACTCGATTAACTCAACATATTGGGTAGTTCCATGGTAGAATGCTAGCCTACCATACATGCGGGAGGTCCAAACTCAGTGCCTAGCTGATGCACTCCTAAAACTCACCTGGTTTGCTAGCAGGCTGTAACAGTAGAAAAGAGGAAAGGTTAGGCATGGGGCTAACGGCCCCATTTTGTAAAAACAGCAACATCTCTGCCACTAAAATCTGAAAACCTGAGACCCCATGTTTCACTCGGTACGAAAGAAATAGAAAAAATGTATTTTTGGAAGTAAGCTTCAGTGCATAGAATGCATGTATACTAATTATAGGTAAAGCAAAGGAATAATATCAACAGCAACATGGTACCAATTTCTGAGTATATACCATGCTGACATTCGAAGTTAATTGGTGGATGATGACTAGCAGTGGAATCCAGGATGCGCATTTCGTCCTACTTGGGACTCGTTCAAAACTATATGCAGTGGGTGGGAACATCATCAATCACTGAGGAATGCAGGTAGATCCAGCCGACGAGTCCCAAGTAGGACGAGGTGCGCATCTTGGATTCCACTGCTAGTCACCATCCACCAATTAACTTCTAATCGCATGCCCAGACATCGTCGAATCATCCGCACAAGAAGCCGACATGTCAACCTGAGACCGAGCACTTCAGTCCAATCAATCTGCGGGGAAATCTAAAATTGAATTAAATATACTGACATTCGTCAAAGAAAGTTGGAAATGAGAGAGAAATTAATTAGTCAGTGTTATATCGCCTGCTTCATGTTAAAGTGTTTGGTGACAGTCACATTACTGGAAAACAAAATCATGAAGTTAACAAATAAATTTACAGTTCACTCCTATCTCATTGTGTAGTCAGCCTTAAGTAGAAATATTCATATTTGCCGGAGAGTTTGAGTATTTTTAAAGCGGATTTCATCATGGACGAACATCAGTTAGAGAACCACTGCGAACCAGGGGGTACTGGACAACTAAGTCTTGCTAGTTTGGTACTGTTTGACAGTATGCACTGATACCCCTACCAAGTATCGAACCCGACCCCTTCAGGCTGAGAGGCGAATCTGCTGACAGTCCAACCACTGGGTTTAGAATCCAATAACCAGTGTGTTCTGAATTCTATCTATTTACACTATAACAGTTACGCGATGCAATTTCTCCTTTCTCAATAATTCCACTATTTCAGTAAATAAAATTGTATAACACTGTGTGATTTTATCAAATAAATTTACTCTATGGTGGAATTATACTCTACCATAGTCCCCAAGTTCTATTCTTATATCCTATCTTCGTACCGGACACTGTCAAACCAGCTGGTCTTTGCTTCCTATTAGAACACTGAGACATTCATCTTGTATCCTTTAATTGACAGTAGATAAAATCTACGTTGATATTGGAATAGTTATTTTACTAATTTAATTCTCTCAGCGGTCAGTGAACACTACTCACATTTAAGAAAGAGACTTAGGTTTTGTATTGACGATATTAATCCTTATACTAAGGAGACATTGAAAAGGTTTTAGATTAGATTTTTTCAAACGTTAAATCACTAATCTTTAAATTTAATAACGAAGAAAAGATCTAGTCATTATTTGAACTCTTTTGTTAATTGATCTGTTTCCCCTTTCTTAAAGAGATAAATTTACTTTTACAAATGAATAAATATATTGATAATTTAGAGAATAAAAAGGTTTCTTTTTGTTTTTTTGCTAAAGGTTAAAAAGCGCGCATAAACTTACGTGATAGATTTAAAAAAGCCAAAGTGAAATTACCGACAATCTGTAATCCATACGGTTCAATATATGTGGCTTTATCCAATAATGGATTCATTAATTCGTTCATTTCTGGACTTGACTTAAAAAGTAAGCGAATATATATGGAGAGTATTTGAGTACACAGGATATTAAAATAATATTAGTAATAATAATAGTAATATGCATGCTGTTGTTGTTTTCGGTATTAATGACATTAGTTGTGAATAAAAAAGCAAAAAAATGTTTTCAAACTCATAATAAAACAGTCCAGCCATATTTGTGTGGGAAATAATTGTAAATAAAAGATTGAATCGTACTAAATAGATTTAAACAAACAAACAAACTATTCTTATGGTAGAAGGATTTCAAATTGGTGTGAATTATTTTTTTTTTTTTGATTTACAGCTTGATTTCCACACCGTATTTTCAGTACAAGTGTGGAACTTTCAGCATGGATATCGGTTGCCCAAATTCAAGCATACCATAGATATCGGGTGTGCGCCGGCAGGGGTTCGAACCCCGGACCATGTGCATGGTCGGCGAGAGTCCTAACCACTGTGCCACCGACGCACATTGGTTGAACTTATTGATTTTTATTCTTTAGTGGTAGTTAGAAGAGAAATTCAATGTAGATGTTTCGTCCTAACTGGGACTCATCAACTGAGCGCATTTGCATCCCAGTGTGAGACAGTGATCTTATAGAGTCTTTTAAATACTAAATTTTTACTCATTGGTCTATTAAGTGAAGACGATGGTTTCTTGTGCAGTAAATACGGTTTGATCTGATTTCTTTTGAATTATCTCTGAACTTTGCTAAAGGTATTTCATAGTTATTCAGTGTTGATGTTGACTATAATTACTGTGAATTTTAGCCTGAACTTTGGCTGAGTTATATTTCATTAATTTCAGTTACGAGTAGAAGTCAGAAAACTCAATCTAGTAAACAGTAGCCCAGTGGAGTTCAAAAGAATATCAAGACTCCATCGATATAGTCTATACGTTAGCAAGTTTAATTTGATAAAATATTAGAAATACTAATGAATAATATGTGTTATTTGTTGCCTAATAGAAAAATTATCATGACCATTTTATTCGGTGAATAACGCTATGAGATTTAAAGTAATAAGGTCTCCAATTAAGTTTCAGAAACAGAGATATCTGGGAGCGAATCAACCAACTAGGAATCACATGTGCAACAAATATCCAGGAGGAAATACAAGTGGATTGGCCATGCTCGGAGAAAATCATCAAGCGACATCACACGCCAGGCCATCACTCGAGGGGAACCCGAATGGGAAGAGGAGAGATGGTTGCCGGTTCAAGGGTGACATGGAGGAAGTCATGTGAAGAGGAGATGAAAGCATGTGGACAGATGTGGTTCCAGGTGAAAACGTTGGCGGAGAACTGAATGTAATGGAGAAGTGTGGCTGAAGCCTTATGTTCCTCTAGGAACTAGAGGCGATAATAATAATATACAGCTCTGAATGAGGCGGATCATACTTCGTACATCACACCACTAAATTTCATCAGGATATACATATTTCTACAATTCTACCAGTACAAGTCTAAAAAGCTATCAACTTATCTAGATATTTCAGACAATTAGGCCTTTTAAAAAATTTAAATTACGCAATAAGAACAATTTTCTCAGTTCATTTTATATGAGCAGAATAACATGTCAGAGATGGAGACAAGGTAGAAACAGGAGGATACAATATTTAATTATAACGAAAACCGAGACATAATATATTGCACACAGAAGAATTTTCTGAAATTCAGGGGTAATTCACGCATTAGTGGAGGTGGTTACATAGTTACATGCAAAGTTATTCACCTGAAATGTAAGAGCTCAAGGACGACAAAGGTATCAACAATTAGTAACATAAAAGATGGATGTAATTATGGAGTTACGCCTTGAAAATAAAATGAAATTTCGACAAGTTAAGATGAAAGAGTCAGTGCTTATCCAGGTTTTCAAGTGTTAGTTTGCAGGAGTTTGATTCGATTGGTTACAGGATTTCTCCATGAGCTGACATTGGTTAGAGAACTATTGGAAAACCTGGAAGTACTGGACAGCTCTTTCGTCCTAGTCTGAATCTCTTCACAGCATGCACCCACCACCAGGTTTCGAGCCCATGACTTTTCGGTCCAAGTAGTAATCAGTTAGTAACAGTCTTTTTTTGATCAGATTCATCTATGTTGATCTCGTATCCTCTACATCCAGATGCCAAGCTATGGAGCCATTAAATGATGTTGAACTTTAGACTGATATTCAACAGTCCTCGTAGATAACCATTTCCCACTCTTCCTACATGCATGCTACCGT